CCCCCCCCCCCCCCGACAATTTTTTTATTTTCTGACGTTTCAGGCAGCTCGCCAAGTAGAGCCTTTCAGTATCCGTTTTCTTTCTTTGAACTTGAAATCTTCCTGTTAAATTTTTTTTCACGAAAATTCTCACAGATCTAGAGTCAATGACTCGATGACTCATAGCTAATTACGGGCTTGACCGTTAACTCCAAAGTGCGATTTTCGGCTTGGTTCAGCCTCGTCCCTGGCGCTTTGATGTGCTTACTGGTTGCGTGACGCACGCGCGTGACTCGAGGTGCGTTGCTCACTCACGGGCTTGACCGTTAACTCCAAAGTGCGATTTTCGGCTTGGTTGACTTTCGCACTAACTGCAGTTATAACTTAACTACGTTTTTATACAACCGGCCCGCTGAGGCAGCGGGGAGGGGGGGGGGGTGGGGGGCAACTGCCCCTCCCCCCTAGAGAAAATTTAACTTACTAACTTTGTGATGCTATTATATCAGAATGTATGATTCAGTATGGGACAGCCATAAGAAAACATCTAACTGCGCCGATATGGCTGTGAATGCATTGAAAATATCTGTACAATCATAGGCGTACGGGAAGGAAAAAAATTAGGGGGACGGAAAGAATCCATTGTGCCCGACTTGTCAAAAACATTTTCCTGTGCAAACTATCCAAATTTGTTGTCGACGTGGGGGGGAGGACGAGGGGGGAAATTTCGGAATGTATAATAGTTTATAATAACTTTTATATTTTTCCTCCATTTTCGACTATTATATTTCCCCAGTATTGAGAAAATTTCTCCTATTTATTTTTATAATAAGCCAATATTGCCCGACTGTGAAGCGAATATTGCCCGACGCCTGAATTTTCGGAACATCACACAAATTTTCCTAGCATCACAAAATTTACCACAAAATTGACACAATTTCCGACAAATTTGACACAATTTGTCCCATTTATTTTTATAATAAACCAAAATTGCCCGACTGTTGATCGAATATTGCCCGACTGCCCCCCCCCCGCCCGGTACGCCCATGGGTACGCCCATCAAAAACTTAAATTTTGATAGTATGTTCCGAATATACCCCCACTCTTGTGTAGGTATTACTGCCCCCGGGTGAAAAAATCTTGCGTACGGTCCTGTTAGATAACTTAAGCCTCGTTTACACTACGCTCAATTTTTGGTACGACACGGATAAAATTGGTACCCGTACCACTTTTTTGGTTCTTGGACTACCTATTTAGGTAGTCCAAGAACCAAAAAGTGGTACGGTACCAAAAATTGAGCGCAGTGTAAACGGGGCTTAGCTAAATAGGTAGTCCAAGAACCAAAAAAGTGGTTCGGGTACCAATTTTATCCGTGTCGTACCAAAAATTGAGCGTAGTGTAAACGGGGCTTTAGATATCGTTTCTTCTTCTGCAAAGTAGTCCGGATCGAGTGAGATATCTTTTCTATATAACAAACAAGCTAGGAGATCATATACATAGCGGCATATGTCGTTTTATTTTTAATAAAAAATTGACTGGAAAGCACAGTTATGTATCAAGTGAACTAGGCTGAGCGACGATGAAATACGGACCTCCGGTAACCTATAAAAATGTTTGCTATACTGTATAGACTATAGTGAAAATCCAGTTGTTTCAACGGCTGCACCCAAAGTTGAAAATCTTAATGTTTGAAGAAAAACATAAATATCTTTTGTTGACTGCCTGATTCTTTGGTTACTAAGCATTTGGCTTTGACTAGAATGACAACTTTACAACGTGGCTCAGACAATGTCAATGATATGATCAGTTTTAATCATAATACTGTAATCATAATATCTAATTTACATCTTTTGTGATGTGGCAACTTTTACACAACTAACCTGCTAAACATGATATTTTATACATCTAGTGTCGATTTCAAATTTCCTTGCTGAAATATTTTTCGATCAAAAAATGGCAAAAGTCAAATTAACAGCAATAGTGGTGTTGTTATACATCGGCGTAGTGGCAATAACCATTGTCATATTCACGATGTTAGTCAATGTTATAGATAACACTGGGAACCCTACTCGGAGTACATGGAATATTGCTAACTTGATGTTGAATTCTGAAGACATAGGATTGGATGGAAATCACATGAAAAGTAAGCAAATCATAGGATTTGAAAATTAGAAGTCGTTCATTTGAGTAGATTGGTTAATGAGTTTCGAAGTGGTGCTGGCCGCCTTCTCAAGAGCTTGCCCCGAAACGTTGGAATAAATCAATACTACTCAGTTGCCAAAAGCATTGTTCAGTGATTCAGTATATAGATGTATTACAGTGTTAGACAGGGATGGTTGCCGATCGATTGAGTGCACATTAAAAAAACGTTTGCCATGCTAGTCAGGTGGCAGCAGGCGCATTCGCAGACACGTAAACGCGATTTTAGTTGATGTGTTTGTTGTTGCATGTTGGCCGATAAATCGTCATAGGCCGCATAGGTCTGAAATCATGAGGAATGAATGGTATAAAATTCAATATAGGCACATAATGTTCCAAAATCAATCTTTAAAACTAAAAGAACATGGAAAAGAAGAACATATGGAGTAAAAAATGAAGGCAACGTTCACACGCCGGAAGAGCCCTATTCACATTAGAGACGGACAAGTCGTCTAGACGAACAAATCGTCTTCACAGACGGACAAGTAGTCGAACAAATTCAGACTTGTTCGTCTAAAATTTTGTCCGACACGTTTTCACATCTGATGATTTGTTCGACTAAAAGACGATTTTGAGACGACTTGTCCGTCTTCTAATGTGAAAATGGCTACTGACCTGCATGGGAAAAGAAATAATTCACGATCAGCATGTGAACAAATGGATAACCGATACTGGAACGGATTCGTAATATTTGCGCGCGTTTTATCAGTTTTAATTAGTTTATAAATAAACTGTAACAGTTTCGTTCCTGGTTCTGACGTCCGACATATATGCCCTTAGAGTGAAAGTGAAATCATATGTCAGTGAGGCGTATCGAAACGCATGCAGTCACAAAGGTGAAGAAGCAATATTTGAGGTGTGACGTAACGAAAATGTACTTGACAATTTCCGCCCGTTGATTATTCGACGAATTAGAAAGGTTATATAGATTCAGGTAACTTGTGTCCAGCTGTTTATGAATGCTGACTGTAATATAATACTCACCCCGACCCAGACAAAATAGCGAGGTGATGAATCCATCCCGTCTTGACCTTCCCCTGCGGCTGTGCCTTCGTTCAGAAGAATATTCAGTTGGAGAAATTCGTTGTGAACACCGTATTGAACGAAAGAAGAACAAAGAAGGGATATAGTTTCATGTCTTGTTGTTTTGTACATGAATATATAGCTAGATTATGAACAGCCTTATTCGTTTCTGGTAAAAGTACATGCAATTTATGATCTTCCTTTTCTTCAATTTCACGAAACAGTTTTTCGCATAGTCTCTCTCTACGGTCCTTTAGTCTTTCTAGATTCCCAATCATCAACACTTCTCCGTAATCCATATGTATGGATAAATGATTCTTAGCGCTCTCCTCCGAATTCGTTCGATTTCTTTTGACAGATAAACTGGATCTTGTAAACTGGAACAACAGTAACTAGACCTATCATGAGTTATCCACTTAATTAACTTGATGTGTGAATTGGGTGGCAATGGGTATAAACAAACGTTAGCCAAGAGTTTTACAAGCGCTTGTAGAAGCGAAAACGTTTGTGTGTTAAACATTATGAATCGAAAGCAAGAATGGTTACAACTTTATATATTATCATCTTTTGGTCACAACACTTTCTTCTCAATAGTCACTGAAACGGTTAAATTCGATGCGAATATTAGCAGATCAAGTTTGCATATATAGTTTTACACAGCACCATGCATACACTAATCACTATAGATAATTAAAGCCAGTTTCGTTTTAATTAAAATTTTATTAACATGGGTGACAGCCAAGATACAGTTTGCCTTAACCATGCAATTTATTTTCATTTCCTCGATTAGAAGCTCTTCTTGGGAATTCATGCATCTTCTACGACTTTGTAACTGCATGTCTGTATAGTAATGTATTCAGTTTATCCGCACAAATCAATATTTCTCATATTCTAGAAAAGCCAGTTGAGAACATCGTTGACCGCATACAAAAACTTGGAAATGTATTGGAGAATATTACCAACAAAATTGAGTCAATGGAAATTAGAGTCAAGAACGGTAAACAGCGAGTTCCTATAGCAGGAAGAAAAAGTAAGCGAAATAATTCCGACTCTCTATCCACTTTAATTAAACTGCTTGCAACTTTGTTTTTCTCACCCGATAAGGGACCGGTCATTAATAATGGGAGGGGGCGGTGATAAATACCAAATATTGAACATTTTTTAGAGCCGCCCCCAATCGCAAGACCTTTATTTTCAAGACGCCCCACCTTCATCTAGAAAACTTAGGACCCCCCCTGCAACATTTAATTCGTTACAGTTTTTGCCGTGTATACTGGGGACCAGTAGTCAAAATGGGTGTTATTTACTCCGACTCCTATGGTAAACTGCATATACGTAATAAACTATGGAAACTACGATTATAGGAACTAAAAAAGGTTTAAATATTGCCCCCAATTCAGGCAAAAATAGTTGAAGCCGCCCCCTTTTCTCACCCACCGCCCCCTCCAATTATTAATTACCGGTCCCTAACAACGGATAAAGTGATTCTATTGAATTTTCCTTTTAATGAACCTGAACCATCTCCCACCCCCACCATAACCCTAACCTAACCCCTAACCTGGGGGTGAGGGTGAAGAACACTATTTATGTTGGATGGCGGGAATGATCATCCGGCCTCGGTTATACCGACATTTCTCAAATGAGAGATTTGCGGTAATATATACCGAGTTGAGAACTGGTGACACGGCTATGGAATCAGGCCTTTACGTTCACAGACAGGTCTATATTGAATCTGGAGTACGGTGACGTCATGAAACCATGTTTGAGAGAACTTTAGCGTATCCATGTTTGACAAAGCGAGTCATTAATGTAATTTCCACTCTCTATTTCACGCGAAAGTATTCTATAACAGACATATATAGCCATATCGATTCATCAGTGATATTCTAACTCATTACTTCTGAAATCTTTTTACAGCCAATAATGAACATGTTCGACGAATTTGTCACATTCCTAAACCAACTACCCAATATCCATTATGTGATGAAAAAGTTTCGGTATAATAAGTTATTTTATTATATAGTAGAGAGTGAAGCCCCGTCTACACTACGCTCAATTTTTGGTACGGCACGGATAAAATTGGTACCCGTACCACTTTTTTGGTTGTTGGACTACCTATTTAGGTAGTCCAAGAACCAAAAAGTGGTACGGTACCAAAAATTGAGCGCAGTGTAAACGGGGCTTAGCTAAATAGGTAGTCCAAGAACCAAAAAAGTGGTACGGGTACCAATTTTATCCGTATCGTACCAAAAATTGAGCGTAGTGTAAACGGGGCTTGAGATACTGAAGAATACACAGTGAGATATTTTCCATATCTTCACTAGTGAAGATATCGATCACGTGACTTTCTCCAATTTGCTTTTGAACGTAAAATTTCACAATTTTTTGCTTGGGACTATATAATAAACAGAACATTTCACGGTGGCTTGAAGATATGACCTTTATTTTCTCGTGTTAAAAACAATATTTTATTCCCTCGCTCCGCTCGTTCGTAAAATATTGTTTTCACCACTCGAAGATAAAAGTCGTATCTTCGCGCCGCTGTGTAATATCCTCTATTTATATTACTAAGGGGCTGTTCGTATGGAGCTTAGCTTGGCTGGCCATGTTAACCGGGATGATTCGCAGTGGTGTCAAGTAACGAAGTAAATGTTACCGTACTTGAGCTATTTTTGAGAAGTCAGCATGTAACAAAGTAAACTTTTTCCGGAGTACTTTTACTTGGAACGAAGTCATTTTAGGAAGTGGCATTTTACTTCGTTATTTTCATTTTGTGGCGAAGTATTTTGTTACTTTTTAACTTTTGTTTAATTTTACATGATTTATCCGGATTTATTTTAATTTTGGGATAGGTAATACCGTAATAGGACCTCTATATTAGAATATTCTTGAAGTAAAAAGTAAAAGTACTGTTGTCTGTAGCGTGTGGGGGGATTCTCCAATGCATGGATTAACATACAAAAGACCCAAAACAGCACACGCATTATACGCCTGGACCTATAAATATACAATATTTCACGGCATGGTCTACTCTCCAGACCCCGCTGAAGATATAAGAAATTCATTAAATAAATAATGCTTATAAGTAAGCCAAGGATACTTTGTACTTTTTACCGACTTAAGTACGTTTAACTTTTGCCTCCAGTACTTTTTACTCTTACTCAACTAGTCGTTTTATTGTTAATTCAGTACTTCTATACTTCTACTCGAGTACAAATTCAAAGTAATCGAGGCACCACTGAATTGATTCGTTTAATAAAACTCTGATCACGGCTTTGGTAGACATCCAAAATAACATTTCAAAGTTGAAATCGCTTAATTTGATTCCAGTAACATAAAGTTCATTCAAACGTTCTTTTATGGTCAAGAAAACATTTTCGTGACACGATTCATCCCAGCTTTACCCAGGTGGCTGCATGGCCTAGCTCATATGAACAGCCACTAAGAAGTAGATCAATTAATGGAATCTATATCGCTAATTTGATTTTCCAGCTATATAAATCACACGGATATACAGTATTTACCACATGGTACAGGTTTCTGTGAATTTTATTTAAAAAAAAAATGTAATCATATTAACACTGTTTATCTTAGGCCTCATGAAATGCAGATGCATGCAACGCAGTGTGACATTGCGTATTATTGAATCTCGTAATTTAAACATATATTGCTGATAATAGAGTTTTAACTGTAGGTGCGAAAGATAACATTTGATAGTTTTGACTAAAATATCATTTATAAACAATAAAATTGATAGTTCAGGCTCAGCAACGATATCTTTTAAACAAGAAGTCTCTTGACCAGAAGTCATGCAGTATATAATATACATTGTATCAAAATTTCGTGTTTAATTTTTTGCAGTATGTTCAAATAAACTGGGGAATGCCTTGTTATGCCATGGAAAATAACATACGTCACGATGATTTATGTTCCATCCTCATTTATTTGAGCGAGGTATATGTTTGTTACACCATGGCCATTAGAAATATTCTCCAACACTGTCTGCTCAGGAACCGCTAAAAATGACTACGCCCATGGATTATTTTACTCAACTTTGTTTAAGACGACCACTCCATAATGTATTGATGGGCGAGTTTCCAAAATTTAGGGGTTATCACTTATCAGTGGTTAGCTAGCCACCATTCAGCGCGTAGGAATCGAGTACAATGGGGGCATATTCCCATTCTTTTAAAAGCCTATTCCAGATGACACAAAACTTTGTGAAAGATTTCTCGACAGCCACTTATGATGAAAATGATGTACTTTTCCAACCTTGTTTCCAGGCTCTTTCCTCTTGTAGAGGTAAGAGGAACTAGCCTGGGGACGAGATTGGTACTTCTCGACGTTTCGAGCGAAGTCCTTCATCAAGAGAGTATATAAGTATAAGAGACCTTAAGAAAAATGTCCTTTAAGGTCCATTTTCCGGAAGAAAGGAAATGTTATAAAATGTAATTGACCATCACAAATTTTCCGTCAGAGAAATTTCAACTTTTAGCAATGATATTTTGGGAAAATTTTCTGTCCGTGGAAAATTTCCTTGAGTGGATCCGGAATGAGCCTTAAGACATAGTGCCCCCAACTATCTGCATTGCTTTCTACGCGACTAAACCCCTGGCGCTAATAGAATATAGATAGTGTTATTAGAAAATGTTGTTGATAATTCAGTTAAATATATGTAAATAGGTCGAAAAATGGTGTGCACGTCTACCATGGAGAAAAATATCTTCAACTTCTAAACGCAAGCCTGACACATTTGACAGAAAGGTTTGTACATTATACATTAATACATGCGCAGCTGCTTAATTAAATACTGAATTGTTGCGTCGTATATATAGGAACCTACAAGACTACAAATGTATGGTTAGCTATATAGATGTTTTAATTTTGTGAAATACAGATGATGCAGAAGATGATTAATTTATGTCAACAGTAAAACATTATGTTTGTTTAATTTTAAAAAAACTCCAAACAAAATTAGATTATTTCATAAATTACATCACGAATACTTCCTTGGCCTGTATGGGGGCCTCGCTCTCATAGTCTCATGAATTAAGACAGAAGGTAATTCGCTTGCGAGTCGTGAGCATGAGAATCACTGCAGGCAAAGGAGAGAAAGAGCTTGCTAACCCCATATATAGTTAATACAAAACTATCTTTCATCCACAAACGGGTGATGCCTGTTGATTTAAGTTGCCAAAGAAAGGGGAAATCCTTGGATCTTGTAGATAAAGTGTAAAACTAGAAATCCTAAATTGGTATTTTTTACAGATTGAAATTCGCAGAACTGTTGATGGTTTGATTGCAGAATGGTTTAGCGATCCAAATGTCCGGTGGATGAAAAACCGCATAACATCAATGAAGCAGGACTGGGCCGCAGCTATTCTTTCTCTTAGTCAAAAGAGACCACTAACAAAACGTGCGAAAAAGAAGGTACGTTAAAACTTCTAGACGTTAAAGGGACTTTCTCCTGGAAATAAATGAGACTAATACTGACGGCTACTCATTTCTATATACATGCGCAAGAGATGGAGTAAATGCATGTAGTGTATAGGAGGTTTCTACACCTTGAAAGGCGAACAAAAATTTTCAAAAGCATGACATTGGAAGCAAAACAATGATGCAAAATTACTTCTTTTAAATTTAAAAATTTTGGAAAGCATGGCTTAATGTTTGCCATTAAATATTACTAAAGTCACTAAAGGAATACCAAATGGTTTTCTGTGCAGAATAGAGTCATCCATGCATGCGATTTTGCGAGACCTTTCGAAAGTCGAGCAACATCCCCAGTGCATGAATGATGCTGTTAGTTTATAAAATAACTACAGTGAAACAACAGTTTCACTTTCACTGTGGTTATTTTCCATGCACCCATAGTATGCCCGTTCGCTATTGGCCAATCAAATTGTATGTTTCACTGTAGTTATAACATAAGTAGTTTCGTTCATTAAAATGATGTTTTATCAATTTTAAAACCAGATAAATCCACCTTCAACTCGCTCCAGGGATTGCGCGCTTGACCTAGCGCATGCGCTGTCCAAGTTACCCATATGTCATAAGCAAATAAAATTTTATTCCTTCTATATAGTGGTTTGTTTAAGAGGTCGTTTAAGAAACGTTTTAACAGAAACTAGTGAATTTGATTGATTGCATTTCCAGGGCTCTGGAAGGTCTCAGATTTCAAAAATGGCTTCGCGGTTCCCTGCATTTCCCGGACAAAAATTACCGACAATCACGGCTCACCCCCAGACATTTCAACCACGTTGCACGACACAAAGGCTGTGATTTCACGAGAACAAATATAGGCAATTCACGACTTGCGAAAATACATCCTACCACACTGATATTGTAAGCTAAATTGCTGAATAAAATTACAAATCTAAACGTTCGGTTCTTTTTGTTTTAATTAGATTGTTGTTTTCCTCGGAGCGTTTGCAGTCGATCCTAGAATTTTGCGTCATGCTTTTTCTGGTGGTGCTTTGGGGGAGATGGTTCAGTGGAGTGACATCATTGTATCACTTTATCTTCTTGGTCATGACCTCGTAGTCGTTAAAGATCTAAGTGAATTACAAAGGTTGGTAATAATAGCAATAGGTTTTGATGGGTGCTGAATAATGTTTCTTCAGGCCCGTACGTAACTAGGATTTGAGCTTTTCCGAGTCGAGCGCTGAAGGCACGAGAAACCTCTTGGGAGGAGGGGGTGTCTGGGGCATGTTCCTCCCCTAGAAAATTTCTGTCAATTTTTAACGTTTAGAAACGTTATTTTTTGCATTCTGAAAGCAATTAGTTATGATTATAATTGTATATATGTCTCATAATTATTCGCCAATCCTAATCAGAAATACAAATATTCTTGGTCCAACATGATCAGGTGCATAATAATAAAGAGAGTGTAAACGCTAAGTAAACCTACACTTCTGTTGTTTGGGTACTTGGTGAGCCTGCCACGCAGGCTAGGTCACCATGTGTGAACTTACTGACGCTTCAAGCAGCTGGAAATAGAACCCTTCATCAAAAATTCTTCCGATCTTTCTTTGACCTTGTAGTCTCTCTCCTCCGCAGAGGCTTTAATTGGCTATGAAGGCGCGAAGCTTCGCGCCTTCCTTCGCCTTTCCCTTTGCTGCCTGCGCTCCTTCGCCCAGCGGCTCGGCTCGTGTTCCAAGATCCGCCATGTAAAGTGTAGTGAAATGTATCTCATCGTAATATTAAATCCTAAGAAAACTAAAGCCTCTGCGGAGGAGAGAGCCTTGTAGTCTTTTTAAATTTTACCCCGGAAATTCTGACCGAGACAACTGACTCTGACTCATAGCTAATTACGGGCCTGTTTCTTTTGTAAGGGGAAACTGCAGGGTAAAAAGAAGGGAAATAATTTATTGAAAACGTGGAGGATAAAAAGAAAATCTAAGCACGCGAGATTCTAAATTTAAACTCCTCTCAGTACGTTTGGACAATTGTTAATTCATTTAGGTGTACATTTCGTTTAGGAACTTAACACTATAGATCTACAAAAAATGTTCCCATGCAGTTCTGAAAAGAGGATCTAAAGTCACAAGTTCAAAGCATTTTACTGTTTGATTACATTCCATGTTTCTAGTCTGTTTAGTTCCTATGTCCCAACTATCGTTAATAATTGATATTTACAGGTATATACCAGTACCAAACGAAAATGGATGTATAAATAACCGCACAGTGCGCCAGTTCCAATATGATTTACTATACACAGATGTCAGTGGTATCGGCTTTATAATCAATACATTTGGTCCTTATTGGTCAGAGTTAAGGTAATAATTGAGAAAAATAAAGACTGAAATATTTAATTTTAAGTTACCATAATCCTCAAACTTAAAATACATGCATGACCGTCATTTTCCAACCTTGCACTTGGGTATAATATACTGTAAACCTTAAAGTATGAAAAGATTTTCTACTTTTTTGAGCATGTTTGAGGAATTTGCAGGACATGATCAGATCTCAGAACATACGACAACTATACCAGTTCCATCAGGGAAGAAACTAATTTGCAAGTCAAAGAATTTCCCACCTTTCAGGGAGGAAAATGCTTCACCACAAACGAACTTCACTAGACTAAGTTCAGTTCGACCTTGGTCAGACTAAGTTTGAGTTCTGGGCACAGAATAGCGACAAATTTAAAGGTTCACCAAAGTGCCCAATACTTATTTCTATTATCAAACCATTACTTTATGCAGATGTAAGACGAGAGTAGTGGATTCGTTTGGTACCGAAGCTGAATTCAACTATAAAAAGTTCAGTGCCAGGGACAGCAAGTATCAGTCTCAATGGGGAAACCTGGAGTTGAATTTGAGACAATTCATGACCATGTTCCGTATGTTCTAGTTACCAGTAATGTAAACATGCACAAAAAATTTTGCACAATAACGTGATACTCATTAGAGTCTTCACCTTCGCTATCCCGCTCCATGCTTGCATGTAGGCATGTGTATAACAACCAAATGGTGATCATGAATGCGGCAGGCTCACTGAGACAATATGGGACTGATATAGCTATATAATCTTAGTTGAGACAATTCCACCATCTAATTTATTTCCTTTTAACAAGAATTTGCGTTCTCCAGTTAAAACATGCACTACTAAACCCTTGCTCCCAAACTCAATGTTCAATTTGTGTCATGGTAAATTACCATGCTTGTTTGAAGGCGTTTGTTCGCAACATTAACCTGGGGCCAGTTGTTCAAAGCTGTTAACTTAACCCATGCAAGACGTGTACAGATACATAAACTAAAACAGCAGGTTAAATTTTAAGCTACAGATAGGGCTAATCCAACTTTGAACAACCGGCCCTTGGAGGAGATGGCATGATCATGTATTGTTACTGATGTCCATCATTAACTTGGAATATTTTATGGTCTCAACTGCGTGTTTTGTACCAAATTGTAAGACTTTTATCTTTTAATGTCTTGAGGACTAGAATGGCACTACAGATTCCACTGTAAAATTTAAATGAAATCATAAGAAGTTTCCGAAATTATTCAAATATTTCCAAGCTTGAAACTATATGTACACAAATATTGATGGTTCTTCCCTCATTTACATGACGCTCATGTGAATAAATGCATATATTTAACATTTTTCAGCTCACAGCCCAGATAATTCATTTATTGGTTTTGTTTCTGGTGCGGCAAACCGAACTTCAAAAAGAAGCAAGAAGTATGCAAAACAGAACATGGCTTTGGTCTATGCAAAACAGGATGGTTACTGGATTGTGAGTTACATGCATTGACATTGTAGAAAAAACTAGTAATCCAAAGTTAGCATATTCGCGTGAGTAATTAGATATTGAGTTTATCGATATTTTTTTATACAGCAACAACTGCAAGAATATCAGGCTTTTAGCTGAGCAATGTGCTAGTGATATACCTTTTTTGTATATTATAAGGGAAAATAATCAAGTATACGAATCATGCAAATATTGCCGTTCGAAACCACATTTTTTTCACTTTTGGGAATTGAGTGCAAAATAATTTGCTAATAATAATCATTCTTTTTTCAAAATCATGCAGACATTTATCGATTTTAAGCTTTATTAATTTTAAGCGGCTACATTATCCATGACAAACTGCAAAGAATGAAGATATTACCCATACTTTCCTGCAACTTATCCAATAATTATATATATTAATTAAATGATACGCCTAATAAAACTATCTATCTATCTCGTTGCCCATTTAGTACCACCAAACTGTAAACTTTTGACATACTAAAACGCTGTTTTCTGACCATCAAAATTCTGTCAAATCTTCGCCAAAGTCCAGAAAATGGCATTTCAGAGACTCTAAATTTAAAAATTTAATTCCTCGGGCCTTCGGTCCTCGCTTTCAGCCCCACCAATCAAAAAGAGCTTCCTACGGCCCTGAAACTTAAAAAGCCCTAATTATACATAATGTAGTGTCAGTTCTGTTTTGAACTTATTGTCAAACACGTTAAACGTTAGCGATAATACACCCAATATTGCACGTACAAGAGCATGCTAAACTATTTGTCTAAAGTAATTGGATTATACCTTTTTTTGCGCTACACTCTGTATAATATTATTGAAAAAATCACTTGATATGGAAAATACACAATAAAAATCTAGCCAGCAATATATATATTGGCCCATGATAAATTGAAATAAATTGAAATATATATTACACGCTTTTTCATGCAATGCGGAAAAAGGTCGCAGCAATCGTTAATTGGCAGCATTTGGCATAGTGAGTCCACTTCTATAAGACTTAATCTCTTAATTATAAGTCGTGCAACGCTTCATGCAACTTCGCTTGCCATAATTTTGGTCATAGCCATGACGCTGGTTCATGCAAGTTTTATGAGAAAATGCACGGTGTAGCTGCGCTTTAATGAACATGTTTTCTCAACTTTGCATAAAAAAGTACTGTACTGAACTTCCCCTGGGCATGCAAAGTTAACATTTTTCATGCTCACTTGCCCGGTTTCAATTATTCCATTTCTCTCAATGAGAATAAGAAGATGAGTAGTGAACTTGGTATGTACAGCAAATCGGTTAATTGAAACATGCAAATAAGTGCTGGCAACGTGAAAATTATATAATACTTTTGGAAACACCACGTAAATACTAATAAATAATTTACGTGGTGTTCGTGGTGTTTAAATAATTTACTAAATAATTTGTGGTGTTTCCACAAACAAAACGTATTATATAAACGTTTTATCGCCATGCAATCCTACAAACGTGAAAATTGTGGAGGAAAATGTAAAAGTTTACACGAATATAAAACATGTTCAGTTATGCAGAAACATGCATATAGTGCATCAGTATACTAAAGTTGCTGGAAAAGTGCATATCTTTATATTAAATGTAGATTGCAAACCGGAGATATCTGGACAAAATTCATGAATATGTTGACATTCATGGGACCTTTAATGTAAGAAAACTGTTCATAATTTTATTTAATAATTTGAGAACATATTCATAAAAGGAGCTGCTGTGGAAAATTGAGGAAATTTGAAATTAATTTTTTGAAAATATAACAATGTTTAATCGAACTTTTGTTTAGCGAACACTTGGACTTGGTGACTTGCCATATTTCATACCAAAATACGTCATCAACCATGGAGTTGTGAACGGAACTACCATAGACAAAATGTTGCAACAATCAAAGGTACTTTATAAAATATTTACATATAGAGCAGATTCAATTAAGGTTGTCCTTCCGAAACCTTAAACCTTAAACTCTGAGCGCGCAAGGGATGATGGGTTTTCAATCACCTATTAGGCCCTTAAACTCAGAAAATTGCCTTTGCAGCAAGTATGTTTTCTGTTGCGAGTCTTCTATATGTCTTTGGTAATCTTGCAAAGCCTAATTTCAAAGTTTATGGGTCTAAATAAGCAATGACCCATCAACCCTCGCGCGCTCAGAGTTTAAAGTTTAAGTTTTTCGAAGGACAACCTTAATTGAATTAGCTGTATATTTAGGGCGCATAGCGTAGTAGGCAAATAAATGAAGAAAAATATACGCCATGAACTTCATGCATGCATGGCAATCATTATACTAGCCTACTCGCAGACGTTGTATTTCTTTTTGTCGCTTGGCGTATATTATCAATCATATGAATTTAATACAGTCTTAGAAGTTGAAGACATGGCCGGTTTTATGCGGCTTGAAATGCAGCCGTTGTATCAAGACGTAAAAATCTGTGATTAGGCGTTGTAAACAGAACGAGGACAATGTCTAAATTATTCAATTCTTTTCAATGATGTATTGTATTTGGTAGCCGTTGCCGTCGCGTTGCCGTCCTAAATCGTAAGGTCTCTAATTATTAGACAGGTTCAGATTTGACTTCCACTACCACTACCGCTACCTTAAATGTGTTACGCATGCGCAGTAACTGCAAGAGCGTGAGGAAATCGTCGCATGTTTTTGTTTTGGGACCGTAACAAAGCGATTTATGGTCGTCGGGAGAAGTCTAATCTGAACAGGTCTAAACAGTCTGTCGCGACCGCTACCAATGGAGCCGTCAAAGGTAGCGGTAGTGGTAGTGGAAGTTGAATCTGAACCTGTCTAACACTAGTACGACGGTCCGAGATTACGGGTTGAAACCTTTGGGAAATAAAGCTTGCGAAAGAACTAATCTTGGTATTTGTCCTGCAAACCTACAATATTAAGGCACTTATTAAATTAAAAGATTCAAGATAAAGCAAGTAAACTGGAAGAGTCATGTACATAACTACATATAGTTCAAAGTGAAAATGACTTTGTTAAGGTCATTATAATATTATGAAATTATATGTTGTGTAGGTTTTTGTTGGTCTTGGCTTTCCTTATGAAGGACCTGCACCTCTGGAGGCAATTGCAAATGGGGCAGCATTCTTAAACCCGAAGGTTAGTCTTTGTATATTTATTCATTAGCTTGACAATGATAAGATTGATGGTAAGGACGATAGAACATATTAGTCAAGTTCAACCAACCAAACATCACAGGCGGAAAAACTTGTGAGTGTCCAAAGCCAGGGCAAAGTTTGAAGGGTAAACACAGCTTTATAATTAAATCCCACCACAATTATTTGAAACTTGCAGGGCTTTCTCGCGCCAGTCCCGCCAGCCTAAAATAAAGCGCTAGGATTGTAGTTGTCTAAAGAGTCGTGATTAATATTAACAAAAACCTCAAAATGTAAAAATAGGCACACTAAGCGTACATGATACCATATAATTCCCTTTGGAGCATACTTGCCTTGGAGCATACTTTGTGTTTCATATAATCTATCGTTCTTTATCGGTCATTACTCTCGATTTCAATTTGCTTTTCAAAACTGACTTCTAATGTTTACTTGTAATTTCGGAATGTTCGTTGTAAAGTTCCAAAGTTTGTTTCGAAGTTCGTTACGATGATTTACGATGATTCAATAGCAAGCGATTTGATTGGCTGGTTCACTTAACTAGCCAATTACAACTTACTAAACTTGATTATCGTAAATCATCGGAACGAACTTTGAAACAAACTTCGGAACTTTACAACGAACATTTCGAATTTACAAGTAAACATTGGAAGTCAGTTTTGAAAAGCAAATTGAAATCGAGAGTAATTAAACTGAATGTTGCAATGTAGCTTGGCATATGCGCTTTTCTCAAACTGAAAGCTCGACCCGTTCTACAACAAAACCGAGATGTTGGAGGCAGTACAGTGTTTATACTAATGAGTGTGCCTTTCAGGCTCATGCCACCAGGTTAAATTCCAGCAACATGTGCTACACAAGGACGTCGCTACCGGGTGAGGGGGTGTAAAACTTGGTCAAAATATCTGGACACCCCGCCCCCCAATGTTAATGACTTTGCGACGTCGCTGACCAAACACCATGCACTGTAGCTTTTCTCTGAAGTAACACTGGATCAATTAGCCGCCTCAGGCTCGGTGACAACAAACCTGAAATCATGAAATCAATAGAAAGGTTACAAAATTCTGGATTTTTTCTTTAAGCTGCATGCGAAGGTTGAAATATTCGTGCATGCTTTTATATTTTGTTTAAATCTTTCCAACTGTGCTTGCAGTTTGTACCTTGAGTGGGAGTGTATAATAAAACAATTAGACAACCTTTAATTTATTTTTCTGTGACAGTAAAATCTTCCTGTTTTGTTCCGATTAATACAGACGAGTAAATGTTTTTAAAAACGAAACTGCAGGTTCACACCTCCACTTCGGTGAACAATTTGTATGTTATGTAACACGCGCTCAAAACTAATGCGTATAATATACCACTTGAGGTCATGACTAAATTCAAAATTTTTATTTTTCGATACGTTTTTCAATCGGCCAACAAACTTAAAAAGTATGTTTAGTGCTTTATCTGTAAAATAATGCTAAAATGAAGAGATTTTAGATGATACGCCAAAGAGAAAACGATGTCTGAAGTTCAGTAAGTTTTGCTTGTATGGCTGTATAAGATATGGCGTCAATTTTAAAGCATCATTTATAATTGTATTTTAATTGACAACTATTATTTTATGTTTCTCAACCGGCAGATGCATTTAAAAAGGTAGCTAAGTCTATAATTATAACTAGAGAATAAAACTAAAACAAAGTAATTTTGAGAAGAACGCCAAAAAGATTGTAGGTTTTGAAAACTTTTCATTGCAAATACGTGACATTGAAAAAAATTGCCTCTTAATTAAACTACTAAAATATGTAATTGTATTTATGCAGTTTCCAGTCCCTCACAACAGATACAATTCCGAGTTCTTCGCTTCAAAACCAACAAGAAGACATGTTACGTCACAAAATCCTTATGCTGAGCAATTTATAGGAGAACCTTACGTGTATACTATTGATATAACGAATGTCACTCAAGTTACCAGAGCGATGAAAAAAATTATGAAAAAACCGGTATGTTCTTCATTTCTATCGACCACAAATACTCAAGAATCTGAAAAATAAGGCATGTCCCTAATCTAGTAATCTATAGTATAACCTCTTGGCATAAAGTTCCAGAATTCAAGTTTAGTCTAGACGGAAGAAGAAGTAAATTAGTGAAGCGGAAAACTAGTTTGAAATGGTTGCCCCATAACGAATTAGATAAAGCCATTGAATCAATGGCGAAAACGATTGATCATGTATAATTGTCCAGTTATGAGATTCATGATTGAAACCGCAGTCTAATAGTATAACCAAGTGTAAACTGAATATACATCATACACGAAGCATTTTATCTTAACTTCAGTGCAGTTCTAAACAAAGTTGTAAATATAATTTATTTCTATATTGTGTTTTAGTTGAGACCGTATCTTCCTTATGAATATACCCATGAAGGAATGCTGGAAAGGATAAGTGCACAAGTAGAACATCTTGTAAGACAATTTATTTCTTGCTATCAAATTAATATATCTTCCTTTTCGGTGTATTTTTTCCTTTTAGATAATATACTTATTCAAAACAAAACGACTTTGTTTTATTGATTTCTGTTGGTTAACATATTGCATGTATACATAATTATAATTATACTGACTTATATTTAATTCATTCGATTTTAATTATTATTTGTCCAATCTATTAATATAGTTCAATGCCCAGTAGATTGTAAATTTTCCTTTTGTAGACGCATAGAAAATATCTGATGCAAAGATCAATATATAAAATTTTCACTTTCTGAAAGAGTAAATGTTTTACCATAATTAAGTATAACCTTTCATTTACGTTTATACTATAATCTATTACTAGAAAATAATGTAGTTTTTTGCTGAATCCTGCACCGTGACTTATTTCAATACACCAAAATAATACCGCCTCACATCTCGTCCTGGCAAAGCGGATAATGTAGACAGCCTCTTATTCAGCAAATTACGCTTGCTAGCTGCCTTTGATGCCTTGGGGGTGAGGCAGCACTTTCCTTGCGATAGTAACTTCTAGTTTATATATTTCCAGAATTTCTGTCAAGATAGCCAGTGGCCACCATTAAAGAATATGAAAACAGTCAAAGGAAAATTTAGCCAGTCTTGCAAGGATGCCTGCTGGGAAAAAGGTGAGCAGTTTAGATTGACAGTTAATATAGGTGTTTTATACGAACGTGACTATAAGCACGCTTAACCATACAAGAGGCATTTAAGAAATTGCATGATCTTAGACTTAGTCGGATCAACCCTGTGTATTGATTGAAAATGGCTTATGTTGCCGAAATATGCTTATATTAAAGCCATATATGTTTGAACCACTTTTATACTAATATATATACAATCATCATTTTCCTTATTTTCAAGGAATGTTATGCGAACCTTCATACTGGGACATTTTAAATCAAATGATTTCGTTTAGGAGGTGAGACATTAAAGTTACTAATCTTACTAAATCCGTACTAGGAATGCAAGTCTCAAAACCAAAGTTCTTTACAGCACAGTTTTATCAATGATATTATTTGTAATATACGCAGCATGAGCTATATAGTGCCGTGTTGTATATAAAATTCTGTTCCATCCTCATGAAAACGTTCGTATTCTTCAAAAGTATTGAAAATGATAAAAAACCTGCACTACACTCTACAGTATATGAGTCAGAATGTTTATGTGAATCAGCACGATTTTGGACATTTTGTCACGACCATGATTTCCTTTGTGTTTTGCTCATGAAATATGAAATAACATTTTACATTTATCCGGTATCTTATATACCAAAAAAGGTAACGTTTTTATAAGAACATTTCTCGAGCCTTCACTGAAGACTGAAAAAAAAGCGAGGAATTTGGGTAAATTTTGAAAAAGGAATTCTGGGCGGATATTTACCTAAGAGTATGATTATGATAAATTAGGCGCCTATATTAAAACCAAGTATTAACGATATATGGGCTTCATAAGCTAGCTAAACAATTTAAGTACTAGTTAAAACATTCGCATCCGATCTTTATCTGATAATGATATACAAACTCTCGCCTTCAGCGGCGAGAGTTTGTATATCAGATAAAGATCGGATGCGAATGTTTTAACGTGCTTAAAAAACGACCAATGAGTTCTTTGGCGAAGTAATTTTAAAAATAAACATTGTCTAACCCGAGAAAATCAAAGCTGAAGAGTGAAGTTTATGTAAATCAGGACAGATCTTTATCCGATTTACAAACATTGTGAATTATTAATGAGATTTTTAATTTGTATATTAATTACTTTGTCTTTCTTGTTATGCTCATTGCCAAAAAATAAAGTGTATGCAATTTGGTTTATTTTCTTTAGGGAGAGAATATTTTGTGATTCTGTAAAGTATAGTGGTTTATTAGTGGCACCATCGTATGAGGAAAAGACAAAGATTTGTCATTTGCAACAACAACCATTGTTATACAGTTGTGTTTCTTCCTCTGCCTCGCACATGAGACTTTGTCCCTGTCGTGATTACATTAAAGATCAAGTTGCCTTGTGCAAAGACTGCTGGTGATCAGGAATGGGAATGGGAATGAGGATGGACTATCACTCATGCAGCAATTCAATTCAAAAGTGAAAAACCGTTTATACCTTTCTGAATGATATTTTTATAATCTTGTCAAACCATATTCACCTATGCATCTAAGCAGCCTATTATAGGATGTATAAAAAAAACTGAATAGATTTGAATTTGCTTGATCTCAATTTCGCAAAACAGCTATTAATATCCAGTTTTTGATATATATAGTTTCTTTGGGTACTTACAATGTAAAATAACGAAAAAAATTTGTCGAACTCAAATTTTGTAAACCAGGGGCGTGTGTTTTTTCCAACAAACTAAAAATGGCTTGCGCACGAGATTTAAAAGCTTTAATTGTATTTTGAGTTAATGTATGAAAAATGTGTTGGGTGTTTAATTGCTGTACGAAATTTCAGACAATATGCTTCAGTTTAAGTCCTTTAACTATTCACGCAAACGTACATTTTTTCCTAAAAAATAAATCAGCCTTTGTATGCTTAATTAATGCGTTTGCCTAATTTGTTTATGTCAGCAATATGCAAATTAGGTAAAGGCATTAAGCATGCGAAAGGCTGATTTTTTAGGGAAAAATGAACAGTTAAAGGGCTTAAACTAAAGCAATTGTCTGAAGTTTTGTACAGCAATTAAAAAGCCAACAACCTTTCTATTCATTAACTCAAAATACGATTAAAGCTTTTAAATTTCGTGCGCAAGCCACTTTTAGTTTGTTGGAAAAACACCTCCCGGTTTACAAAATTTGAGTTCGAGAAATTTGTTTCATTACTCTACATTATAAGTACCCAAAGAAACTATATACAGTATATCAAAAACTGGATACTAATAGCTGTTTTGCGAAATTGAGAGCAATTTCAAATCTGTTCAGTTTTTTTATACACCTGTATATACACGGTGCCCCCAAAACCCCCAAACTATTGAAATAACGTATTGTTCGAATTTGAGTGCCCTAGCACTAAGCTGACCGCAAAGATGCGTAAAATATTGACAGGGTGCATATATTATCAATATTGACTTATTAAGAAATTAAAATATCTTTGTAAAGCGCACGATTTTCTGCTCTTGGCCTGGGAATTTAAATTTGTTTATGCATAAAATTTACATATGGCTAAAATTTGCATCAAGCTTTTAAGCACTTGTGGGTTTAGCAGAGTACTGAGGCATTCAAATTCTAACAGTACATTATTTCAATAGTTTTTTTTTTTTTGGGACACCTGTAGTACATATTAGAATGACATCACGTTCATGATAACCTCGTATAAAGGCATAGACTATTACAATAGCGCTGGGACCAAGAAAATTCTGGCAGGGGCGTCGTTAGACCTCTTGGAATGGGGAGGGGGGTGTAAGTTAATTTTGCCGAGTTATCAAGGCAAATTTTGCCGAGTCACTACAATCGCTAATTATAATATTCAGTCTTATTTCTTTTTCCAAAATTGTTGGCGAGCGGGGGGAGGGGGGGGGGGGG